AAGAAACACTTACAAATTCATGTAATGAGGCCAGTATTACTGTGATTCCACAGCCAGACAAAATTGTCACTTGAAAACTACAGACCAATATCTCTCATGATCATAAATGTAAAAATTCTTTAAAAGAAAATATTAGCAAACTGAAACCAGCAACATATAAAAAGGATTATATACCATGAACAAGAAGGGTTTATCCCAAGAATACAAAGTAGTTTTTACATTGAAAAATAACTGATGTAACATACCACACCAACAGAATAAAGACCAAAAACTACTTGATCTTCTCAATAATTCAGAAAAAACATTTGACAAAATTCAACACTTGTTCTTGGTAAAAATCCTCAACAAATTACAAAAAAGGATTTTTCGCAACCTGATAAAGGGCATCTATAACAAAGCTACAACTACAATTGTGCTTAGTGGTGAAAGACTGAATGCTTCCCCCCTGAAATGAAGAGCAAGATGTCTTCTGTCGCTACTTCTATTCAACATCCCACTGGAGGTTCTTGCCAGTGAAATAAAAAAGAAAAGAAAGACATTCTCATTAAAAAGAAAGAAATAAAATTGTCTTTATTTGCAGATGACATCCTATATACAGAAAATCCTAGAAAATCTTTTTTAAAAAACAACTACTAAAAGCAAGAAATGTGTTAAGCAAGATGCAAGATCAAATCTATTATATTTCTATATATAGACATTTATATACGGTTTCCTCCAGACTTCACCCCATATGCCTTTTCCCTTTGCTGATTTTGCTGCATCCTTCCACTGTAGTAAATCATAGCTGTATGTAAGTGCTCCTAGCAAATTACCAAGCCTAAAAGAGGCCTTCAGGACCCCTAAACAACGCACAACATTAATAATCATCAGGTATATGCAAATTATAACTATAATGAGATTCCACCTCACAGCCATTAGAATGGCTATAATCCAACATTTTTTCTCAGGATATGAATAAAGTGGAGCCCTCATATATTGCTGGTGGGAATGTAAAATAGTACAGCCACATTAGAAAACACTTTGGCAGATTTTTCAAATGTTAAATATATACCTACCATATGACCCAGTAATTCCACTCTTAGTTATTTATCCAAGAAAAATGAAAACATTTGTCCACACAAAAACTTCAATATGAATGTTCATAGCAGCATTATCCATAATAGCCTAAGAACTGGAAACAACCTAATTTCCACCAACTGGTGAATAAACAGAATGTGGTAGTGTATAGTCATACAATGGAATAGATTCAGCTATACTATAAAAATAAATAAACTAATACAT